ATCTCTTTAAAAAAAAGAAGAGGAAAAAGAAAGAAAAAGAAGAAAAATGAAGCATTCAGTGTTTGGGGTTTTCAGTGAAAATTTATTGCTGTGCTTGCCAATATTACCCTGCAGCTGGGTATACACAACTGCTATACGATAAGGGGAGAAATTAGAAATTCAAATAGTTTCATAGTAGCTCTTAATTTCAGATTAAGTGCAACAGAATTCAATATTTAATAATTTTTAGCATTTCTGTCTTGATGTAGGTCCCACAATAAATATTGTTCACAGAGATTAGGGGATGTAGGTAGAAAATGTCAAATGAATATCTTGTTAAATTATGATGGGATAACATGCAAAAATTTTAAAAGTAAGCACACTTCAAATTAAGTAGGTTTTTGTCTTCAATATTAAGAACACTAAGGATGCTGTCTCATCACCATAGCAATAAACTCCAAATGTATATTTGTGATGCTCCTGTATAGCTTCCATCTTGGCCTGAGGGCTGGGTTTACTTAATACAAAAAGAAAATCAATCACACATATTTCAAATTTAGATTCACGTCTCTCCACTCTTAAAAGAGAGATTCCTGGAGGGTTGCTGGTTATGACAATTGTCTTTCTTTTGAGGCTTTGCTAAGTCTAAACCATTTCTGCCTTAGTCCTTTGTTTTCATCTTTCTCATAAGACTCACTGTCAGGCTGGGGGACGGGGGAAGTAGAGTTAAGCAAAACTGACCCGCTTTATTTGTATTCAAGTCTTCAATTCCATAAATACATTTCAAAGTGCTTAAAGTACTTGATGATGTTATTCCAGTAATTCATGTAATAATCTTGAACCAAAGAACAGATTCATCCTTAGAAGTCAAGAGAAAGCAAATACAGTCTTGTAAGAAAACTTTTCATTGTTGAGAATTTCAAATGTGTACAAAATCAAATAATGTAATAAAGTTCCCCGAACTTACACAGCTTCAATAATTCCCCAAAGTTGTAAAACATTAGTAAGTTGCAGCTCCTTTTATGCTATATGCTCTACTGCTTATTATCCATCCACTTTCTTCAAATCCATAGAATTCTGATGTGAATTCCAGACATACAGTTTCATCTCTCTATATTTTAGTATATTATCATTAAAAGAACTCATTTATTAATTAAAGAAAATATTAGCATACTACTTAAGAATTCAATAACTTTAGTATTGTCAAATATCAGTAATCACGTAAAGAATCAATTTTCTAGTAAATGCTGTAAATTTATTTTATGATTTTTTTATGATCTATATGAGTTCATAAGTGACTAATATTTTTAGTTTCTTTTATTCTTTAGTTTCACTCTGCCCATTTTTAAATTTTGCTTTTTGTTATGGTTATTGAAGAAAGAGAAATTGTTCTCATGTACTTGGACAGGTTCCTACACAAAGAAGTGTTAGTAGTAACTCTATTTTGCTTTAATTAGCTTTTGCCAAGGACTTCCAGGAGATGGCAGAATGTTGACGAGCAGAGAAAGATCCATGCCAAGATTTGGTGTTCAGACACTAGACTATAGCAACGTGAGGAAGAGGAGGGAAGTGGGTCCCTGGGACCCAGGAAGGACCTGAAGCAAGAATTGAAGCCCATGGGGAGAACAAAGAGAGAGACCTAAATGCAGAAGAAGGTGGCAAGTGGCACTTTCCCCCCAAGCCCAGAGTCACTATTGGGGAGGGGTGGCCCCAACATGCAGATGCATGGTGACTACTGGCAAACCGAGAGGCCTATACAGAGAAATGCCCAGTGGAACAGAGCAGTAGATGCAGCAGACTGCAGGGGCTGGTGAGTTATTTGGGTTTAGACACCCCTAGAAGAGGGTGATTGGCCAGTAGCCATCTTCAAGAGGGGCCAGCTGAGCTCCATCTAGTGGCTACCAGTGTCAAGGAGTGGCTGCTGAGTTAAACCAGCAGGAGTTCAAGGAGCTGAGTTCCAGCTGTCAGGGACCTGAATTCCAGCTGGCAGAAGGCACACAGAGTGTCTTGAACAATAGGGTCCCAGCCTCACAGCCAGAAACAAACCTGAACTTCAGTGGAACTAAAGGTACAGGCTTGCTGGGTTTATCCACTACCCTGCCCAAAATCTACAGCTGGCTTGTGGGAATTAGTCAACATGGACCTGGAGTCTGTCTGCCCACTTTGTCTACCAGTGACAGCAGAGGCACACCTTGAAGTAATCTTAAATTCTTTTGTCCATTTTAAAATTGGCTTGCTTGTTGTTTTGCTGTCAAATTGTAAGCATTATTTTGTATATTTTTTAGATGTAAGTTCTTTAACATAGGCATGTTTTGCAAATATTTTCATCCATTCAGTGGATAATATTATCCTTCACTTTAGAGTATATGTAACAGAGCAGAAAAAGAAGTCTTTTATTTTTAATACAGTACAAATAATTTTTATGTCACAGATAGTGCATTTAGTGTTGTATCTAAAATTATTAATATATATATATTTATATAATTTTACACGTGTGTCCTATTTATTTCACTTGAGTATGGCCTCAGTGTGCATCCACTTAGCTATAAATAGCTCTAGTTTCTCATTCTTTATGGCTGAGTAGCACTCCATTTTATGGAAAAAAAACCCCACATCTTTTTTATCCAGTCTGCAATTGGTGGGAAATTGGGCTGCTTCCATATTTTTGCTATTACAAACTGTAAACATGCATATGCATATATCATTGTGGTATGATTCTTTTAATTCTTTTGGAAAGAAACCCAGCAGAGGAATAGCTGGGTCAAATGGAACCTCTAATCCTAGTTGTTTGAGGTATCTCCATATTGGTTTCCACAGTGGTTGCACCAGTCTGCACTACCATCAACAATGGAAAAGGGTTCCTTTCTCCCCACAGCCCTGCCAACATTTGTTATTGGTTGATTTCTTTATAGCAGCCATTCTTTCTGGGGTGAGTTGGAATCTCAGTGTTGTCATCTGCATCTCTTGAATGACCAGTGATGTTGAACACTTTTTCATGTTTATTTGCTGCTTTTACTTCTTTGTCTAGGAAATGTCTGTTCATTTTAGATGCCCATTTTTGATTTGGATCTTTATATTTGGGGGTCTGATGTTTTTTTTAGTTTTTTATATATTCTACATAAAGGTAGACCTTTATATAGCCTTTATATATTCTCAAGTAAAGGTAGGATTTTGTCTGAGGAACAGCTGGTAAAACTTTTTTCCACATTGTAGGGTTGTCTCTTAGCTCTGCTGGTGGTTTCTCTTGCAGTTCAGAAGCTATTTAAGAAGCTATTTTAGAGCCTCATTCATCTGTTTCATTATTTACTGTGCTATCAGTTCAGGATGTCCAAATGGTTGATTATCAGACTTTTCCACCTCATTTCACCCAGTATTTGCCTTTGGTAAGCTGGAAGTCTAGGCTTGTGCCTTGCTTAGGTGTCTTCTCATTTCTATTTATGTTGTTGCTACTGTTTTTGGTTTAATTCTTGAGTTGATACTGATACTTCAATATTGCTTATTTTAAGTGTCTTTATTGCTTGTATTTAGAACACTTATGGAATGATTGCTTCTCAGAATTGTCTTCCAAGTTGGGCGTGGTGGTGCACACCTGTAATCCCAGCACTTGGGAGGCTGAGGCAGGAGGATTGCTGTGAGTTCAAGACCAGCCGGGGCTACATAGTGAGTTCCAGATCAGTCTCAACTATGTAGTGAGACCCTTTCTCAAAACCCCCCCCCCAAAAAAAAAAAAGAATTGTCTTCCAGATATAGCTGGTCTTTAGGTTTCGAGTCTCAAATATCTCTTAGGCAACCTTGTTTTCGGTATACCAGGGAGGACAACTGATTAGATCAATCACAACACCTTAGCCCAAGCATAACAATTAGCAACAATAATAACATCAAGCATAGCTTAGAAAGTGACAATTTGTGGTATTTATTAATCTATCACCATTAACTGTGTGAATTAAATCAAATACAAGGACCAGCCCAAAATATGTTTATAGTGAATAAACTCTTTTTTTTTTTTGTTTTGGCTGGTCTCGAACTTGCAGTGATCCTCCTGCTTCAGGCTCCCAAGTGCTGGGATTACAGGCGTGCACCACCATGCCCGGCCTATAGTGAATAAACTCTTTAATGTAGCAACTTTCACCTTTGGGATGGGGACTTAGGAGGAGTTGGGGAGGGAGGGATACATAGAAAGACAGGGAAAGGTTAAACGTGAGCCCAGAGGACACAGGAAGATCACACAAACTCTAGGAAACTGTTGAAGAAGACAAGAGGAAAAGACAGAATGAGAGAACAAAGACAAGAACAGAACAACCTAACAGCAAAAGGGAAGCTAGAAACTATTCACTTTCCTTTAAAACTAATGACAGTTGAGAGAAGGAAAAAAGAGAAAAGAAAAGAAAAAAGAAATCTGAATTAGGATAGGAACAGGAACAAAAAGGGAAAGAGATGAAGAACAAGGTGGATGAGAGTGACATGACAGAGTGAGTGAGAGAGAAAAGAAAAAGGGAAAGGAAAAATTTGATAAAAGAAAAATGAGAGAAAAAATAAATTTTAAAATGAAAAATAAAACGTAAACATGAAGGGCGTACTTTAGGGTATGTTTCTGCTGTCACAATAGAGAAAGTGGGCAGCAGTGTGAAGATCTAAGTCAATTAGTCTCAGCCAGCCAAGAGCTGTCCCCTGGGATTCAGGCTCGTTTCTGGCTGCAAGGCCCAAATTGAGCTGCCTGACTTCCTGCTGAATTGAACTCTGCAAGGTTCTACTGCAGGTTACAGCTGCCCTTCCCCTGAAAACAGTCCAGGTTGCAAGGGGAAGTGGTGATCCCTCCAACCTACCAACTATGGTGATGTGGTGTGCCTTTATTGCTGAGATTTTCTTTGCTTTTCCAGTGGACTTCAATTTTCATCCAGGAGCCTCAGAGAGGCCCTGTTTGTTCACTTCTTCTCTATCTCCGGGAGCTCAGAACAATGGCCTTTGTGACCACCAGTGCTTCTGTGGTGTGGATCCAGGTACTGGAGCAGCCCAGAGGCCAGGGGTGTGTATGTGTCCTGGGATGGTGCTGCAGGTGCCCGCGCAGCTCAGCTCTTATGAGGGCAGGGCTGGTGGGTGCACTCTAAAAATTATTATTAGATCTCAGACCTTCTAGATTTTCTTCTGTGTCATTTTCTAGCAATTTTAAAGTTTAGGATATTGGGTTTTGGTCTACAATGAATTCTTTATTTCATTAGCAAATATTTCTTGTATAATATTAACTAGCAGTAGTCAGAGGGGATCTTCCTTGTCTTAGGAGAAAGCCACTTAGTTGCTCAATATTAAGTGTAATGTCAACTGTTGTCTTTTTTTGGTAGATTTGTTTATCGAATTGAGAAAATCTTTGATTTTTAGCTACCTGAGAGTTTTTATTATGAATAGATGGTTGATTTTGTAAAATTATTTTTCTGCATCTATATATGTACTTATAAGATTTTTCTTATGATGGCTGATTTTCTTATTATGACTGTTACTATCTATGATGATATTAATTGACTTTTGAACTAGATTTACATACATGAAATAAATTTTTTTACAGGTCATACTGTGTAATTTATTTTACTTGTTTAGTTAGGTGTAAAATTTTGTTAAAGAATTTTGCATTTATTTTCATGAGAGATATTGGCTTGTTGCTTCTTGTCATATTTTTTTCTTATTTTACTCCTTTGGTAATGCTGGCTGCATATAACGAGTTGAGAAGTAATGCCTCTGCTTCTAGTTTCAATTAAGAGAACTCTCCATGTTTTGAGGTTCCTTTTACTTGACTCTATATTCTTTCAGTATAATCTTTAGAAAAGACTTCTGGAAGCCTCCAATTTTTATATTCTTTCAGGAAAACACTAAGAAAAAAAAAGAAAGAAAGAAAAGAAAAGAAATCACCTTTTTTTCTCAAACTCTAGACAAATTGGTCTTGGGCAAAGATTTGGGGCCCAGATTGAGTCACCTGCTCATGCTAGAACAATCACTGAAGAAGATAAGTGTTTTGATTCATTGGATCTACCCAGTGGAAAATGAGTTTTGTGGGCAAAGTATTATAACTTCATTTAGTAACACCACTGAAGGACAGCACAGATTTGTGAAGTACAGGAAATAGCTGGAACATTTGCATATTTAACTTTTAAAATTTTTATTAGTGCATGTTTGCAGTACATAATCTTTACATTACTTGTGTGTAGTTGGTACATGCACACAACATATATCAATTCTTTTCTTCTTTCCCTCCTTGTAATTTCATATATGTTAGTCTTAGTTACTTTCTTGTTGTTGAGACGCATTTTCTAATACTCATCACTCTAAGGAGGAAAGTATTATTTTGGTTCACGGTTTTTAGAAGTTTCATTCCATAGTCAATTGGCTCCAAAGGGGGGGCTGTATAGCAGAAGGACATGGAAGAGGAGGGATGGCAGCAGGAAGGAGAAAGAGAGAGAGAGAGAGAGAGAGAGAGAGAAGAGGGAGGGGAGAGATATTAAGGATGGAGGGTGGGCGATATACTCTTCCAGGTCACACCCACCTCTTTCAACCAGACTTCACTTTCCAAATCACACGTAGCTATAAACTTACCAGTGGACTAACCCACTGATAATATCTGGCCCCCGTGACCTAATAACCTCTCCAAAACCCCACTTATGAGCCCACGAGGCTTTGGAGAAAACCCAGATATAAACCATAACAGTGATTTTATCTGACATGTGAGCAATGCTCTCTTGGTTTCAATCTTTCCTTTATCTCTCTGAATCAGTTTGAATGCCTATTGGTTTGTATTCAAATATACTTATCTCTTCTTTTATTATGTCCCATCTAATATTAAGAGACATTCAATGAAGTTTGGATTTCAAATATTAGAATTTCTATTATTTTAAAATTCATAGATGTAATATTTCTTCTGAAATATTAAATATTTTTACTTGTCATATCTATATCTTTCTGCAAAGCAGTTGCCATATTTATAGAATTTGTTCTACAGTAATTACTATTTCAATGAACTGGGTTATCTATGGGTTTTCTTCCTATGACCATGAGTTTTCTTGATTACAGGAGTTGTTTTTCTGCAGTTTGGATGTCTCAGAAATTTTTATTATAATGTTGATATTGTGTACAAGTATATTAAGAATTCATAAGTTATTTGTTTCTGTTATTTATTTTCCAACAGAACGTAAGCCCTTTCCTTTATTGAGGGATAAGGGTAAGGATTAGTAGAGTAAGCTTCTGGAGGGCTGGGCTGGAGCTTCAGTAAGAATTCAGTGATTAGCTATGTTAAACTCCTGCAGAAACATTTTCCACCATTTTTGAATAAGACAGTACTTGGTATGAGAAGCAACTGGATATCAGTTTCCATCTCTTCTTTCTTTTTGTTTCATCCCTCGTTTAAACCACAGCAGGACTCTACAACTCAAGAACTGTGAGAAATGTGTGGGCCTATTGCTGTTTTTCTCTGCTTTCAAGAATGCTTTCCATTGCTCTTTTCATGGCAAAATCGAATGATTGGTGAGGGAAAGAGTCTTAATGGGCCACACGCTTTGCATTTAAATTTGCCACTCTCTCAAACTTCCCACAGCCCTTGCTGCTAAAGGGCTCAGGGCTTTCTTCTCAGTCTTTCAGTTCCTTCATTTTTATAAGGCTTATCCCACCACCCTCCCATTCACACTCAGACATGGAGATTTCACTCAGATTTAGAAGATGCCGAGGCTTCCCCCTCACATAAAAGGAGCTGTTGCTTTCTGGAATTAAGTTTAACAAGGATTCTTTGCATCCCCATCCTTGCTATCTGCAAAGAAAGCACCCTTTCCATTTTTCCTAGGCTTTCCCTGTGGTTACTGTGGGACCACAGGTACCCAGCACTGTGTGGCCTAATGGAAGCAGAAGTTTGATAAACAATATGAGGATTTTAAAAGACCGTAGTAAGCTTCAAATTTTACCAAAATAGTCAAAATAAGACTTAGTATGTAAAAACATTTTCGTTATTAAAAAATTTCAATAGAAAAACCATAGCATATGAATTACAGAGTAAATTCTAATTTGATACAACTTATATTAAATAAAGCATGGCCTAATGGAAGCAGAAGTTTGATAAACAATATGAGGATTTTAAAAGACCGTAGTAAGCTTCAAATTTTACCAAAATAGTCAAAATAAGACTTAGTATGTAAAAACATTTTCGTTATTAAAAAATTTCAATAGAAAAACCATAGCATATGAATTACAGAGTAAATTCTAATTTGATACAACTTATATTAAATAAAGCATTTTTTAATTTTACTAATATTATTTGCTAATATTTAGTTCATCAATTTAATGTATTTTTAAGTAGTAAATGTGCTACATATTAAGATGAAAAACATGTATAGTCTTCAGCTCCTCACCTCCAGGATTTAATAATCTAGAGGGAGAAGTAGATATGACTTTTGATCTTGCAAGTTTTGATCTTTTTTTCTCTTCCCTGGTTGTTGTACTCTCATATATGCTAGCCAGCATTCTATCACTGACCTATACACCTAGGCCTTGTCTGGATCTTGTTTGTTTTGTGTGTGTGTGTGTGTGTGTGTGTGTGTGTGTGTGTGTGTGTGTATTTGGTACTGGGGATTGAACTCGGATCCTTGTGTTTGCAAGGCAGGTGGCAGAACCACTGAGCTAAAGCCCCGGCCCCCTTGTCTGGATCTTAAATATTAAAAGCTTAGTTCTCAGCCCATGGTGTTATTGAGGTGTGATGGAACCTTTAAAGAGTGGGACCTAGCTGGAGAAATTTCATTTGGGGTATGCTCTTCAAAAGAAGGTCCTGGGGTCCTGGAATCCTCCTCTTTTTCTTTTTGCTTCCCTGTAGTGATGAGGTGAGTAACTGTGCTTTTTCATAGGCTCCTGCCATGATATGCTGCCTTTCCACAGGCCCAAAAGCAACAACACCAACTGTTCATAGACTGAAACCTCCAAAACTATGAGCCAAGATAAACCTTTCTTCTTTTTAAGTTATCATCTCAGGTGTTTTGTCATAGTGACAGAAAGCTAACATACACAATAATGTCTACGACAATATTTGAAGAGGTATTGTTGCATGAGTCCTAAAAAAACTTAAAGTCGTGATTAATTTTTTTTGCATGTAGAACTATTGTATAAACTATATCAAAGGCATTAGATCAAAGTTTTTTTTTTTGTTTGTTTGTTTGGTTTTTTTTGGTACTGGGGATTGAACTCGGGTCTTTGGGCTTGCAAGGCAGGCCACCGAACCACTGAGCTAAATTCCTGCCCCTAGATCAAAGTTTTGATGTATGACTAAAATTTTTTGAGTATAGCATTTTAGTACAAGCTTATGATCCTACTAAGGAGGCTGAAGCAGGATGATCACAATTTCAACTCTAGCCTGGGCAACTTAGGGAGACTTTGCCTTAAAAATACAAATTAAAAAGATCTTGGACAGAGTTCAGTGGAGAATTCTTCTTAGTTGTATAAGGCCCTGGGTTCAATTTCTAGTAGTGGAAAAAAATAATGATTATATGAATGTTTTAGCTATATGTGGGGACATGTGTTCACATGCAGTGGGCAGTTTCTGGGGGAAGGGCTGAAAATGTGCTAGTTGCAGGGAGGAAAAAAAACAGGTTAAAACATTCAGGAAATAGCATACAGCATCTGTTATGGCTGGAGGAAAATCTGTTGAGGGGTCCAGGGGATAGGCGTTAATAGAGCTAAATGGAAAGATTGAAGGTAGGTTGCGAAAGACCATGAATTCTTTGCCAATTCTTACAGGTTATTCCTTATAATAATACTTTGCCTCATTTCTCTAGGGAGAGAACTCAGATGTTAAGCCCAGGAATCATACACCTGTATCTGTGATTTTTTAGAAACATAGCTTTATGTCTATGATGAGTGTAAACTGAAAGAGACCAGAAAAATGACCAGGAGATTAGTAACTAGGCCATGGTATGATTTTAGGGTGAAGGTTATGGGAAACTAAAATAGAGACCAGGGAGACAAATGGAAATTTCTCACAGTAAAGAGCCAGACTTCCTTTCTTTACATTCATATGCTGGATTTTCGAGACTCATTAGCCTCTCTGTGCTTTTAGGGGAGTGACAGGGTTGCTCTGTTTTGAGGATTATGTGGAGGATAACCAGAGGGAGTATATAGAAGAATGCTTGACACTTGGTAAGAGTTATGTATTTACCATTTTTTTTGTTGTTTGTTTGTTTTTGTTTTTGGTACTGGGTATTGAACTTGGGTCCTTGTGCTTGTGAACCAGGCAACGGAACTACTGAGCTAAATCCCTGGTGTGAATTATGTATTTATTAAATTTTTTAAAATCAACCAGTTAGTAGGTGTAAAAGAATACGTCAGTTATGGGAAAATTTTGAAAGAACTGATGGTTTTCGTTGACTTTTTAGAGAGAGCCGTGGCTTCAAACTTTCTTGCTTAAAATGGAGATTTATAACATAATGATATAGAAAACAGGGTATCCATGAAAAAAAAATCTCAACCAAATGCATTTAGATTTTTTAAAAATCAGTTCTGCGAAACAGAATTAGACAAACTTGATGTGAAAAGAATTTAAGTAACAAAAATAACCACAAGCTCAATTTAAGCTCAGTGAGGCTCATCTTCCTCTGAGTTGTGATATTTACAGTGATATGAATATTAAGTGATGTTTACAGTGTGCTCAGGAGGAGCTGAGCTACGTCCTAAAGTGCAGTGTTGATTTCTAGGCCCTGCCTGAAGTCCAGTATTTATGCTCTGGGTCTGGATTACAGCTGGTGAAAACGACAAGACAGGGAAGACTATTTGCAGTCGCGCATGTTGAGCAGTTAAAAATGTCCTGGGAATATTTTCTCTATGTGTTCACAGAGCAACTCGTTCATACCACTTTTATGACATATCTCATCATGCGCACACTTGGCTATGTTCATGCTTTCCACTTCCAGTATGTTAAACTATTTTTCATTATTGAGTACCTACTCTCTGCTTGACATTGTAATAGGCACTTCACACAAAGTATTGTATTATTTGACCCTGAACAACTTACCATGGAAAGAATAATAAATAAATAAACTTGGAATGGATTTTTATTTGAGTACAAAATATAAGATAAACACATAATACACATAACTTAGGCAAAAAATCACTTGAAAATGGTAATAGGTCGTGGAAGCCCCATAATTCTAGAGATACAATTTCAATAAAAAGAATGTCTGGTTATTTGCAGAGAGATAGAAAAAGGAGAAAAATGAGTAACTCTTAAAATTTCTGGTCTCAATTGGTAAGGCTTTCTTTAAGGTAGAGTTCATGTAGAGACCAACATTGGTCTTCAGCTATTTTATGCCCACTCACAAAATCACTTTTCTGGCATGATGAGTACATCCAGATACCTTAGTGGATGCCATTAAACTCCCCTCATTGCCTGTATTCTGCTTCCAAAGACACTAAACAGCTTTCCAACCTCCATTCACCTTTGTCTATGTGGAAAAAGCACCAATCATTGAGTTATGGGTATTTTTGTCCCATTTGACAATCAGATTTTCTAGAAAATCTGATTCTGTTTTGCCTTTTCTTTCAGCCTGACCTGACCGCAGGAGAGCATGTGCTGAGAATGTGGCCCTCACATGTTCCTGGCCAATGTGACAGCAGTTTATATAAATAAATAAGGTATTGCTCTGGTGCGGAGTCTGTTACATAAGTACCTCTCGCTGACTAGTCGTGCCACTGGGGTTCTGTGGCATCAGTTTGTGTATGTTTTAGCACTTGTGAATCAGGCTCTTAGAGCCTGATCACCCTTCATAGGACAGGAGTTAGTGCCAGGGTCTTCTACACAGGCCAGAGCATCCTGGTTTTCTTCCTTCCTTCCTGTCTATCTATCTATCTATCTATCTATCTATCTATCTATCTATCTATCTATCTTCTATCTCTATAAAGTCTGTCATAGTCAACTCTGCTATAGTAATAAAAATGATGCCATAGATAAAACTTAAAGAACACATCTCTATTCCATTAAAACTTTAAGTATATAATACTTAGGTGCACGTCTGCAGTTAGATAACCTCTTAGGATATTCCAGCCAGGGTAAGGATCACGTGAACTGCCCTTGATGCTTACACTTGTAAATACTAAATAGAGAAACATAATGGAGCAAGACAACTCCCAAAGTTTAAGGATGCTACGGTGCATTTATCATGTACTCGTCTGCTCACTCTATTTATCCTCCCACCTCTACATGAATTCTCTAAGAGAGCTGAGAAGATACTTCATGAAGTCAATGAGAAAGGCACCAGGGTGAGGCAGCAGCACAGCTGGGAGCTCTGGGTGGCTGTCTTTGTAGTCTGGTATGCACAGGAACAAGATGCTTTGGAGATGGGCTTTCTAATTTCTAGAGGGATCATAGGTTCCCGAAATTCTAAGACCAACGTGGCACCATTTAATTATTAGGAAAAAATGGCACACTGACTATAATGGAAGGCTGAAATGAGATTTTGAGCAGAATTTCTACACCTTGGAGGTTTCATATTGGGTAGTTGGTTGTGGTTTCCCTATAGACTTGTGATTCCTTCCATGGATGCCCATGAGCCTTTTCTTCCAGAGCCCTGTTATTGCTTAAAAGGAATGATCCAAAAACTGTGGCAGCATAGAAGAATGGTAGCAGTTCATATTTACCTAGTGCATTACACTTTTTAAATGTTCTGCATTCATTTTTAATTAAATTTTACCAAGTTTTTTGAGGTAGGAAGAAAAATAGTTGTATGCTACAAATCTATGCAAATCTATGGTGCATTTGGGGCAGTGGTAGGGACGAGGTGGGCATAGAAAACTGAGAGGGCACTAGGAAGAAATCTGTAACCGCTGGATCACTGGATCCCAGGGAATTTGCAAAAATTAAATATATATATAATGTTACTTTTTTCAGCAATTATACTTCTTTTTTGCTACAAAATGCATTTTAAGACCTAGCAATCCAAGAATAGCTGAATTATATTTTAGAATGTTTTCTTTACTAAAAAGCAAATAATGTCCTGTGTACTTGTAGAATATCCATGTTTGAAATGTTGAGGTTAGGAGAATTCCTGGCTTTTGACCTTTCTTTCTGCCTTTGGCTCAGCAGTGCTCTGAGTTTAATTTTGTGTCTGAGCAGAATGGTATAAGCCTTCTGATGACTTTATCTGTGTAAAAACAAAAGAATGAGGAACTATTTCTCTAAAAAGCAGAGGTTATGGAAGCATTCTTTGGCACCAGTATCTTCAGAAGTCAAAATTTTCAGACTCCAAAAACAGCGTGACATTTAAACACTAAATGCATACAAGCCGTTAGTGTTCATTAAAATTAGTAACAGAAAACACAGGACTTCGGAACTGAACTCCAGGGGTTTAATACACACTTGAACTAGGAAAGATACCAGAGAATGTTAGTTTCAGCCCAAAAGACATCTCGTAGGTTAATAAATATTTCCTCTGGTTCAAAGATACTCTCCTACATTTAAACATTGAACTACATCAAATTATGTTTATTTTTCCTCTTGGCACCAAACATACATAAACATAAACCTCTATTTTGTAACATATCCTGTCACGTATATTAGAGTTCATTAGTGTGGGTTTTAGGAAATAAACCTGTAAGCCCAAATTTAATTTCCACTCGCTTGCTTATATTCGAAACCTCTGCTTCTTTTCCACTACAGTTCCTTCTCAAATTCACGGGACGTGGATTATTCTTCAGAGGGCCATCCTCTGCTTCTCCAGAGGATGACAGGCTACTAATTGGAGGGGAATAAACCTCAAAGACTAGGTCAGGAATGGAATTGAAGGTAGAGAGTTGTTAAATGCCAAAGTACAAGCCAAAAGATGGAGAAAAATGAACCTCAAATAATTCTGAGAATTAGGCAATTTTGGGAGATCATTCTTAGGGACATATGAGTGATATTTCGTTCCTATTCTTCCAGTTTTAGAGTACCTTTCAATTTTTTTGTTTCAATTCGTAAATATTGATGGAATGGCTACTCTTTAAACACTAAGGGTATAAGAGTGGGTGTATTAGTCCATTTTTCATCACTACAATGAAATTCTTCCAAGTGGGTATCTTTATAAAGAAAAGAGGTTTGTTTAGCTGAAGGCTGTGGAGATTAAAGGCCATTATACAAGCACTAGCCCATGTCTCGTGAGGAAGCCATGGCAGATGGTGTCACAGTGGAATGTAGGCAGGAGGAACAGACTGCAAGATAGGAGGCCAGAAGGGCTCCTGTCTTACAGCCCTTTCCCCGAGGAGCCTAAAATTGAACTAAAGCTTTCCCAGTAGGCCTCACCTCTTAAAAATGTCATCTCCCAACATTGCCACACCAAGGAACAAGTTTCCAAGACATGAATCTTTGGGGGCCAAGGTTAAGTCATATCCAGACCGTCACAGTTAGTAAAATAGACCAAAGAGATGTGAACATTGCTTGGGAGGAGTGCTGATATTTTTTTATAGGTTTGAGGAGCTCTCACACATCCTATTGTATTCACTGGAGACTTGAATAAAATAAGGAGTGAGCTACCTGTCTCACTGTAGGAAGAACAGTCCAAGGGAAGAGAAAAAAATTTGCCATGAGCCTGAATTAGGAATATAATTGACATCTTTTAGAAACAAAATTTAGGCCAGTGAACAGGGGGAAGGGCCAGAAGTGTAGTAAAGGACAGAGCACACAGGTCAGTAGTCACCACAGCAAACGTTTTGGCTACGACTCTAGGTTAGAAGCCATTGGAAGATTCTGAACAGAGGACTGAAATTATCTGACTTACATTTAAACAGGTCACAAAGTAAAAGCGAGGAGATGAGTTAGAAGGTTATGTGATACTCTGGGGAGATGATGTGGCTTGCAGCAGATAGTGGTATTACAGGTAAGAGAATCTGTCAGATTTTGGATACATTATGAGATTAGAGTGACAATATTTCAGACATGAATGTAGAAAATGAGAATTTGATAGTCCCAAGAGTTTGCTTGAGAAATAAGAAAAGTGTAGCTGCTTAAAGAAGACAGCAGAGAAAATCTTTTTACCTCCTAAATGAGGAAGAAAAAGAACAGGAAGAGATTGGGATCCCAGAATCCCCTTCAGGGGCCATGCCCCAGTCACTTAGGAACCTATACTACTCCTGACCTCCTCAAGGTCCCACTACCTCTCAATAATGCCACCTTGGGGCCAAACCTTTATCACACAGGCCTTTGTGGGACACTCAACATCCAAATACAACATTCTTTTTCTTGTCCTCAAGGGCTTTTGTCTGTTTCACAAAAATTTCATCTCTAACAGTCCTAGCAGCACAATTTGTAATAGTTAAGTCTTGAAAATGGTGCAAATATTCATACTACTCTGCCATAAAGAAGGATGAGCTTCAGACATTTATAGCTAAATGGATGCACATTGAGATCATACTCTTAAGGGAAATAAATCAGATACATATGTTTAAATACTGAACTCTGGTGTGAGAAAGTGAAAGCGGAAATAAGGACTAAAATGTAAGATATTGGGAAAAGGGAAGAAATACATGGGAAGGGGAACAAGGGAGGAGGGAGAAGGGACAAAAATAAAAGGGGGAAATGGAAACAAAACTTCTGTACATAGGGAGGAGAGAGAGCTTGAGGGGTGGGAAGGAATGGCAAGAAAAGAGGCAGGATGTGTTCTGCACAGGTGCAAGTTCCCCATGAGTGTCAGCATTATGTGCGCCTAAAGTGTGCCAATAAATATTTTGCTGTGAAAAAAGAAACTAGATACATTCCTAGAAATATAAAATATTGAAGCAAAAATCCTAATGTTCCACATATGGCATCTAGGGCACACTGTGCTCGGATGTGGGCCCCAAGGACTTGGGCAACACTGACCCTGTGGCCTTGTGGCTGCACCCTGCATGCTACTCTCTCAGGCTGGCTCCACTCACTGCCTATAGCTTTCCATGATGAATGTTCCAGTTTTGTCCCTTCTACCTGCCTTAAGTCTTTTTTTTTTTGTACCAGGGATCCAACTCAGGACCGTGTGCTGGCTAGGCAGGCGTGGCGCCACTGCGCTAAATCCCTGGCCCTACCTGCCTTGGGTCTTCCATGGAGCTTTGGCATCTTTTCCACATCTTCACTGTACATTGCTCGGGAGGGGGCTGCTGAGACTCCACTACTCCAGTACATTGCGTGGCCTCCCCACGTTTCACTGGAAATTTTGGTGGAAGACAGCATGACCACCTAACACTCACATTCCACATGTCTGCAAAACAATCATCATGTGGGTGACACCAAGGTCTGATGCCAGCAGGAGATGTACTTGGGTCTTTTAAGCCACAGCTGCAGCTGTTGAGTATCTTGAAAAGTCTTTGAAATAATTTCCATTTCTACATCTTTTTGTCTGTGGTGGCTGTGAGCTTGCTGAAAATAGACATCTTTCCTTTTTCCTTGATGCAAAGTATTTGGCTTCTTTTTAACATCATTAATAACCATACGCTCCCTGGCTGAATCTACACACATGCTCCTTTTCTGGCCAAACTGAACATTTTCAAATCTTTCTACTCTGCTTCTCTTTGCCACCAAGTCTCACTATAAACTTGGATCAGAGTGCCAATAATAGTCATGTCACAGCCTTAATACTTCATTGCCTTGGAATTTACACCAGATAAAACTAGAA